CTTCCGAGAGAAGCAGAAGGAGGGCCATGGGGAGGCCATCATGTTCAAAGGTGAGTGCCCGCAGGGCCTTAGCAGGGAGCAGGGAGCTGAGCCCCTAGAGAGACCCTTGGGAAGACAGGGCAGATGAGTGCCTTGTTCCTGAACACCCAGCTCCACTTCCTGGACATCCGGTCCGCTCTGGGGCTGTGAGGTCACCGTGGTGGGAAGCAGCCCTGGCCTCTGTGACCCTCGCTGTGGCCAACGGGACCATCGAGCTGCCCGCTGCCCCTTATGACCACCAACAGTGCCTAGTGCTCCTTCGGGACCTAGTGTATACTTCAAATGGCACCAGACCCCAAGGAGAGTTAAATGGTTCAAAATTGACACGCAATCTGTGTTCAAGGAGCTTGTGTTTTCGAAAGGGAGATAGAGAAGAATATACATAATGCACTTGAGGGGTAGGAAGAAAAGTGGGAGTCGACAGACGTGACGTACAGTCAGACATCATCACCGTCAGTCCCGGAGTGAGAAATCATCTGCTTAATTTAGACATCCACATAACTGGGATAGACAGACTGGGATGAGCTTTGCTCTTAAATTAATCATGAAAAGAGACAAAGCTGATCAGGCGCAGACGGTGAGCCAGGTTAGAGAGGCCATGACAATTTCTTATGTGCTCTTCCTACATTCCCTTTTGACACCTTTCAGGATGGCATCTCTAATCCACCTGCTCCCAAAAGTCTGCACCCCTAAGGCTGGTTGATACTTACATATATTACCACCCTCCATGTCAAAAGGCAGTGTTCCTGATAGTGACTGGTGTCCGGGATGGACAAGACCAACTTAAGACCACTGTCATTTTTTAATTCCCACCGATAGGAAATTTGTTTTAGATTGGCAGGCATGAGTCTTGACTTTCTGGAGGCTTCTTTCTATATTAACCCCTCAAAGCTACCCATAAGGATATAGGAACTATTATCTTTGTACAAATAGATCCAAGGGGTGGTGTGGAGACAGCTCAGGTACAGGGTGCAACAGCACCGATCTCTTTGCCACTAACAAGCTACAGGACTAGGAAACACAGCGGACCAGCATCAGGCAGGGAAAAAGAGTTAATAGCTTAATTTCTGGAATCAGACTGCCTGGTCTGCTGACGGGCTCTGCCACTAGCTGTAAGACCTTGGACGAGTCATGTAACTTCTCTGTGCCTCCATTTCTTCATCTGTAATGCTGGAAGCTACCTTATAGAAGTGTGGGCAGGATTATTGAGTTAATCCACGTAAACATCTAGAAGACTACCTGCCACATAGCAGGCGCTCCATGAGCATTAGGTATCACTAATCAAGCCAGAAGCCACGTGGGCCATCATGATGGAATAGGAGGCAGATGCAGGCATAGACCAGGACAAGGGCCAAGCATGAGGCAGGTCTGGAAAACAGGAAGGGTGACACCCCTTGGCATCCTGCTTCTGCCACACTCCCTCTGGTCTGCTGCCCATCCTTAGAAGCAGGCTTCCTGTGCCACCCTACCCTCTGGCCAGAGAGAGAGCAAGACAGCTGCCACCCCTTCCCTGGCCCAGGTGACATGGCCAACCCTGGGGAAAGGAGTTACCCCTGGGGTTGCCCTCCTGTGCCCCAGCCTGTCCCAGCCCCTCTCCCTCATCCTAAGAGTTAGCCCAGAAGCTGGGGGCCTTGGCAAAGGGGAGCGCCCAGGCCTGGACACCTAAAGCTAGACTGTCCCCTGTCCTCTGACCCCCACAGGCTTGGGCGGGATGAGCAGCAAGCGAATCACCATCAACAAGATTCTGTCCAATGAGAGCCTCGTGCAGGAGAACCAGTACTTCCAGGTGAGAGCGGGGCAGGGGCCCGTGGGAGGGACAAGGCTATGACCAATGGCACCTGTCATATCCTCGGGGCTTCCATAGGGAATGGCCAAGGGTTCAGGGCACATGACAGAGGGAAGGACCTCAACAAGCATTCGGTCCAGCCTTCCTGGTTTACGCCTCTAAACTGGAGGCTGAATGGGGTGACAAAGCAGGTCAGTGGAGGCTAGAAGCAGACAGGAGACCTGGGAAGGAAGGTGTATCAGGCAGTACTAAAGAGCCAAGGGCTCTGTAAGGCTAGAGCCCACAGCATTTGGGGGAGACCCAAACTCATTAAAATATGATGAAAACTACAGACCTGCTCTCCAGAAAATTTCATATGTAAACACATGCCATGAATTTTTATTTGTTTTAGGGGATCAGAGATCCCTGAAGTTTTCTCTCTGTGGATAAATCCCACCTTTGGAGTCCCTAAATCTCAAAGATTGTATCCAGAAGTAGATACCAGTCAAAAGGGTCATATTTAGTTGAATTAGATCTCTCTTTATTTGCATGGGCATATTTATTTATTTACTTATTTATTTAGCTGCTTTGGGTCTTTGTTGCTGCATGCGGGCTTTCTCTAGCTGCGGCGAGCAGGGGCTACTCTTCGTTGTGGTGCGTGGGCTTCTCACTGCGGTGGCTACTCTTGTTGCAGAGCACGGGCTCTAGGTGCACAGGCTTCAGTAGTTGTGGCACTCAGGCTCAGTAGTTGTGGCGCACGGGCTTAGTTGCTCCGTGGCATGGGGCATCTTCCCGGACCAGGGCTCGAACCCATGTCCCCTGAATTGGCAGGCGGATTCTCAACCACTGTGCCGCCAAGGAAGCCCTGCATGGGCACATTTAGAGTATCAAGTTTAAATTTAAAAACTCAAACTGATTTTTTTAAATGGCTTAATTGACTCATATGAGTAGGAAGTCCAGCAGTGATATGGATTTCAGGCACAGGTTGATCAGGGCTCCAGCTCCATTTCTCTGCACTTCTTGGGCTCTACAGGTGCCCTCATGACAGGAGTATAGCTGCAACAGTTCAAGGTCTCACATCCATCCAGCACACCATCCACAAAGAGGGAGGTCTCTGCCCCCAACAATTAAACAAAAGCTTTGCATTTCACTCTGATTGTGCCAACCTGAACTAATTATTGTAGCCAGGGGAATTCCATATACTGATTCCCTTAATCCTGGTTTATTGCCCATCCTTGAACCAATCACTGGAGCAGAGAGGCAGGGGCAAGGGTCCACTAATTAGCTGTCACCAGGAGGGGAGGATGTAGTCAACCCAACCCAATAACTGGCTACTACATTTCAGGGGGAGGGGTGGAGTGGAGGGGTGGAGTGGAGTAAGCAACTTCAGAGTTTCCCAAAGTTCACATAATGCCTCACTGGCTATTTGAAATTTGACTTTATTGTAACTCCCCTCCGTGGACATTCTTTGGCATCGGGTAGATCTGAGGTCAAATCATGGCCCCTCGTTTTGGAAGTCGGACCTTGGGCAACTCACTAAGGACTCTACATTTTGGGTAGAGTCTCTAATAAGGGGCTAATAATAGTGTCTACCTCATGAGGTTGAGGCTTAAATAAGTAATGTATGTAAAGCACTTAGAACAGTACGCTTAGGGTTCTTGTACATATTAGTTTTAATTATTATTAATCAAAATCATTATCACTGTTATTCTCACCACACGGGACAGCCTAAGGATTCAATGAGATACTGCATAGCAAGCACTTAGCACAGGGTCTGGCTTGTAGTAGGTGGTGCTCAGTAAATGAGCCCTCACTAGTGTTATTTCTGTGATTTTCTAGTATTATTTCTGTAATCTTCTCTCTCGTTCTCTTTATTACTACCATTACTGGTGGGAGGGGCACCAGAGAGGTAGGCGCGTGCTGGAGTGCTGGGGTGAGGTTGACACTCTCCCTGGAGTGCCGGGTCCCCTGCAGGCAGGGGTGAGGTTGACGAAGGTGGCAGGGGTGTCCCCTCACTCGCCTGCCCTCCATTCTTCCCCGTCACCCAGCGCTGCCTGGACTGGAACCGCGACATCCTCAAGAAGGAGCTGGGGCTGACGGAGCAGGACATCATCGACCTGCCTGCCCTCTTCCAGATGGACGAGGACCGCCAGGCCAGAGCCTTCTTCCCAAACATGGTGAGGTGCTCTGGACCCCAAACCTCATCCAGGCCAGTCAGGGGCAGCCAGATCCAGAGGGACCCCTCGGCTGAGGCTGTCCAATCAGGAGGCCCGGGTCCCAGTCCCGGCTGAGTTGCTGTGGCCTCCCACCCACCCCAGGCACTCGACCTCTCTGGGCCTCATTCCCTTCTGGGGTGATATCCTTATTCTAGCTGCCCCCTGGGGTCCTGGGGGCTCCTTTAACAGATTGGAGAGTGTCTTGTAAATTAAAAAGGCCTTTATAGACGGGAGGGATTCTTGTTATCATAGAGCAGAGTCTTCTGTGTGATAGAAGGAGGTTAGAACACACATACACACACACATAGATACATATATACACACATGTACACACATGAAAACACACATACACGCATGCGTGCAATGCACACGCTGATGCGTACATATATAGCCACATGCACATGCATGGACATACACATAATACAGGGGTGGGTTGCCTCGTTTTCCACTCAGCTCTGCCATGTATGAGTTGCTTAGCCCCGCCGAGCCTCAGTTCTTCATCTGTAAAATGGAGATAATCACAATCCCTACTTCATAGGGTTGTTGGGAGGGTTCAGTGAGCTTAGAACAGGGCGGGGCATAGTAGGTGCTCACTAAACCGAGCTGTGGCCCATGCTTCCTTGTTGCAGGTGAACATGATTGTGCTCAGCAAGGACCTGGGCATCCCCAAGCCATTTGGGCCCCAGGTTGAGGAGGTGTGCTGCCTGGAGACACATGTGCGCTCCCTGCTGGAGCCCCTGGGCCTCTGCTGCACCTTCGTGGATGACATCTCCGCCTACCACAAATTTCTGGGGGAGGTGCACTGCGGCACCAACGTACGCAGGAAGCCCTTCACCTTCAAGTGGTGGCACATGGTACCCTGACCTGCAGGGGGCTGTTGTGTGCCTGTCACAGCCCATCAACAAGCAGTGTTGAGGCTGGACTAACCCTTGTGGTTTTTATTATGATTGCAAAGTGCCCTTCAGCAATAACTATCAGGAAACTTGGGGGGAAAAGTTTATTACTTTTCATTTTATTTTTACTTACAGGACCTGGAAATAACCTGGCACACCTGGGGCCACACAGTGAGGTCATGGGGAGAGAGAGAGAAAACCCACGGAACTGGGGTTCTGCTTTTATGGGAGTTGAGGGTGAGGGCCTAGGATTTCGAGGGCTCACTCTTTATTGGTGAATTTAAAGCATAAGAGTGGGAATTTAAAGCGAGGAAAGAGGAAAAAGGCAGGTGGCCCAAATGGTCAGTTATCAAAAGCAATCAAGATCTCTAAAAGAAAGGAGCCTCAGTGGGGGGAGGCGGCCTGGCTCTTCATCTAGTTGTGTGGCTGGCAACGTGTTTACTCAAGATCGCCATGTTTGAAGTGGATGCTCAGCAATCAAAGCTGAGTCAGGCACTCGTATTAGAAGAAGGAGAAAATCTGCCTGTCAGGGTTCACACTACAGGGGCCTGGGCACCTCCCTCCTTCCTTGAGTTCCCCAGACTCTTCACACCCCCAGAGAATCCCCCTGCCTGACGTGGACTGGAGGCCGCGTCCTCCAGACGCGGGGAGGGGATTTGAGATATCTGTGCCTTGCCTTCCCTCAGAAGGGCCTCAGGGTCCACGAAGTCACCCCCTGAGCCTCTGTGCTGTCCTTCCTGAAAATAGCTGGACATTTGGCCAGTGTCTGTATAGCCCTGACGTGAAAAACAAAACGAAACAAAAACTGCTTTACCCAAACCCTTCCCCAAAGAATCTTTAGTCTCTTGTCCAAAACTGAATGAGGGGAGAAGGGAAGGAGGTTCTGGGATGACCAGTTGTCCCTGTAGCCATGCCTTGTGGGTCAAGGTAGATGGCATGGAAAGGGATTCTGGAACCCCAGATATACCTTGAACTGTCATCATCCTTTGAAATTCACCTCCCTTGGGCACCTGGACACCCCCAATTATTCATTCCTTAACAGCCTCTGTCAAATCCCCTTGGCTTTCCCTCTGCAGTGTCGACACTGTTGGCTAGCCTCCTTAGACTTAGACTCCCTGAGGGTCCAGTAATTGAGCTTACAGCCTTCCCTGGAAGTGGATTTTATCAGAGCAGCCTTCCCTGTTTACAAGATTCTTATGCTTCTTCCTTCTCATGGACCCAGGCTCTCCCAGATGCTTGGGGGTTGCTCCCCACACCAGCATCCCTGTGGCTGGAGAGTTCACTGTATCAGGATGCCCCAGGGTGAGCCATATCAGTCTTCTCTTGCTGGGTCCTTGATTCTCTGGCCAGTCCCTGACCTCCCTCCTCTCACAGCCTCCACTTCCTATTCCAACGCCGTCTCTCCAGACAGCTAGACAAGGACTTTTTCCCCACCAGCCAGGCTCAGACCATCCCCCAGGACGCAATGAAAGACCTGCCTCTCCTCTCCAGACCCCAGATCCAACACATAAAGACCCTGTCCTAACCTCCGGCCTGAACAGCCAGTTCTGGGCCAGCTGCTGGCCTTAGAGATGGATTGATTATCGCACTGAAGTTTCTTCAGTGCATTTGCTGAAGACCCTCTCCTTTGGACATAATCAGATTCATTCTCTGGCTCCAACTGAAAAGACTCAGTTTCAGCTAAAAAGTATTCCTTTAAGGCCACAGCTGATTGAGGAGAATAAGTGAATTATAATTCCACTCTGAGGGTTAGAGAGGAACTGATATATAACCAATGAAAAGGTTGTAAATTTGTATACTTAGAGAATGGGATTTTCTTCTTGGATTATTCACTCATTCAGCAAACATATATTGTATGCCTCCTAAGTGCCAGGCACAGCGGTGGGCCCCGAGGACACAGTGCTTAGCAGCAAACTGCATCTGGCCCCTGCTAATGGAGCCGGTCAGTTCCCAACCTGAGATGCCCACATTTAAATGGCCAGCCTTTGCCCTTTCAGGGATGTGCTCTTTAGAAATACCAATTCGCTATATTCAGGAAATGCACAGGACACAGAGCTTCCAGCAAGTCACTATCTCAGTGAAATGAGGGGGTTGGGTCTTTAAACAGGCCTCCTTCCCATCCAGCTGGGCCAGTACCACCTAACAGATCAGACCCCAGGGCCTTCAGAAGCTGTTGTCCCCCCCCTTTGGGGACAGTGGCTCCTGCCTTTGGGGGCCAAAGCCCCAGATCTCTCCAACCCCAGAGCTGAAGACACCAAGTGCCTATTTGTGGATGTTTATCTGGAGACTTAGACTTTGATGTGTGTGTGTGTGTGTGTGTGTGTGTGTGTGTGTGTGTGTGTGTGTGTGTTTGGTTAATGTGGGTTTTGGGGCTTTCTTTCATTTTTTTTCTAGTCTGCCTTAAAGGGAAGTGAGTGCTTCCCAGGTGGAGACAGTGTGTGTTTCTAGATTTTTCTAAGGCTCTCCCCATCAATAAGTCAGTAACTTCTGATGATTCTGGAGCCCCCAGGACTCACTCATTCCCATCTTGCTTGCCCACTCATGTGACTACCCTTGGCACGGACATCTCCCCCAGTCCCCCCTGGACTCATCAGTCTTCCCCACCCACCACTTTCTATAAATGTAGACCTAGAATACACTTCTGTGTTGCAAAACTCAGCTAAGTTCCTGTTTCAATCTTTATTTTGAAATACTGTGTATAAGACAGCAGGGGGTATCATGAAGATGGCAAGAAGCGGGGCACAGTTTCAGCTTTCTGGACGAGAGGCCATATGCTGGAGATCAAAAGATGTTTGGGGAAGAACTTGAGTAAACAGCAAGAAAATAAATGGTCAGATGGGAAGTCACGTGGCTGTTGGTGTGATGTTCATGGTTGCTTCACGGCCATGGCCTGGAAGGAGGCAGCCATACGCAGGCCCTCTCCTGGTCCTCCAGCCCCTGCCCCTCTGCACACAGGGTCAGGGCTCTCAGCAAGGGTACCTCAAGGGTTTGGAATCCCACACGCATTCAGTAGGTGTGTATTAAATGGCCACCACCCAAGGTTAAGACCAACACCCAGAGTAAAGTCTGACAGTGTTTCTGGTGGGGCTCCCCAAAAGCAGACCCCGAGGTGAGCATTTGGGAACAAGTAACTTATTAAGGAAGAGCCTCCAGGAGAAACCAGGAAGGAAGTGGAGGGAGCAGGGCCAGGAATGGGAAGAAGCCAAGAGTGTGATTTCAGATGTAGCCTCACCCTGGTCACCGGAGAGCTCTAGAGCGTAAGTGGCAGCTCAGTTGTTCCATCTGGAAGCCGAGTTTCATGTAGCTACACGAGTCGGTCATTAGCTATGGGGACTTTGGCTCTCTGAACAGGCAAGGGGGGCACCCGTAGCCTATGGGCAATCATCCAGCTGTAGTTTTGTTTTGTTTTTTTGCCACACCGTATGGCTTGCAGGATCTTAGTTCCCTGATCAAAGATTGAACCCGCGCCCTTGGCGGCAGCGATCGCGCAGAGTCCTAACCACTGGACCACCAGGGAATTCTCCACAGCTGTAGTTTTTAGCAGCAGAGTCACAAGAGCTGGGAAATGGGCCAGAAAAGGATCTAGGCAGAGCACTGACTGTGTCCACTGCTCTGAGTAATATCATGTTCTCGTAATATGGAATTGTTGCACGTGGGTATTTATGATTTGACCCATGGTATAAAATCCATACAACATAGCCACGATCTAACAGGGTCTTTGTGAACAAACCCCCGAGGCTCTAAAATAGAACCACCTAGTTGGTTGCTACACCTAGAAGCCACTTCCAAGCACTTTGGAATGCACCTGGGGGGTTCTTACCCCTCAGCCCCATCTTGGGTTTCTGGACAGATGTTCTGACGCAGCCATTTGCAAAGGCCACTGCAAGATGAAAATCACTAGTTCTCTTATTCCTGGACTTAGCCCGTGGGTCCAGCCCTCTGAGGTCATTCTTCCCTTTTATACCCAATTAATGTGGCCCAAGCCAATTTTCTATGGGGTTTTCCTGATGCACCTATTTCTGAGATTCCCCAAGGGATGCTGGTGTGTTAAACTCATCCTGCTGGTGTTTTCACATCTTGGCCACTCACTCACCTCAGGATTGCTGAAAGTCACCCTGAGACGTCTAGAACAGCACCTTCCAATAGAAATACAATGCAAGGGGCTTCCCTGGTGGCACAGTGGTTAAGAATCCGCCTGCCAATGCAGGGGACACGGGTTCAAGCCCTGGTCCAGGAAGGTGCCACATGCCGTGGAGCAACAAAGTCCGTGCGCCACAACCACTGAGCCTGCGCTCTAGAGCCCGCGAGTTGCAACTACTGAGCCCACATGCCACAACTACTGAAGCCCACGCACCTAGAGCCCATGCTCCACAATGAGAGAAGCCACCGGAATGAGAAGCCAGCGCACCACAATGAAGAGTAGTCCCAGCTCGCCGCAACTAGAGAAAGCCCGCGCGCAGCAATGAAGACCCAACGCAGCCAAAAATAAATAAATAAAATTATAAAACAAAACAAGAGTTCCCAGAGAGCTTCCCATCCCCTTAAAAAAAAGAAAAGAAAAGAAATACAATGCAAGCCCCACATGTAATTTTTAATTTCCTGGTACCATATTTTAAAAAGTGAAAAACAGGTGAAGTTAATTTAATAATGTCTTCTTTATTGCAGTATATCCAAATTATCATTTTGACAGGTAACCAAAATTTTTAAATATTAATGAAATATTTCACATTCTCTTCTTTGGTAGTAAGTCTTTGAAAGCTGATATATGTTTTATACTTATATCACATCTCTCTTAAGACTAGCCACAGGGCTTCCCTGGTGGCGCAGTGATTGAGAGTCCGCCTGCTGATGCAGGGGACATGGGTTTGTGCCCCGGTCCGGGAAGACCCCACATGCCGCGGAGCGGCTGGGCCCGTGAGCCATGGCCGCTGAGCCTGCGCATCTGGAGCCTGTACTCCACAATGGGAAAG